TGCCACAGTTGCATGATGAAAATTGCATAATTTTCTTCTCAGCCTCGTATCATCTGCCCGTTTTTGTCACAAGCATTTTGGTGAATGTTTTCCCCCTCCTTTGCATGCGAAACTAACATGTGCAGAGTCAGGATTTCGGGGGTGTGTTTGCTTATGTGGAAAACAGCACCAACAACTCAACTTCAAGAAGCCTTAGTTTCAGCCACAAAGTTGGATGGATAGTTTAAAAGAACAACTGTATTAGGCTGTGAGGAAGGACATACTGATGGACCAAAACACTAAATTTTAAGAAACGCCTTGGTTCTCGTTCAATGCTGCGGGCGTGAATGTCCCAACAATGACTTCTTTTCTTTTTTTGGTCTTACAGTAAAATGGAAAATAAAATGAGATGTTGCAATTCATCAATTATTTCCTCTTCTGAAGGAACTTGTGAACTCATAATGAATGTTCCTGCCTATCATGATTGATGTGTTGACTATACTCTTGTAATCCTTCAATATGGAAAAACACCACAGGAACTCAGCTCGGTGTGTCTTGTGGACTTTGAAGGTGTGTTTGAAAACAAATGTCCCGAAAGCATGTGACATCAGATTTATGGTTCAACTTCGATCTGACTATGCAAGGCCTCTAAATGAGGGGTGTCCAGCCGTTGTACTGCTCCAATACAGCTGATTCAAATGGTCCAACTTCTTCAGCAAGTGAAAGTACTCCAGAGGCCTGCTAATGAACCGTCATTTGATTCAGGAGTGATGAACTAAAACATGCAGGATACTAGCCCTTGAGAACTGACTTTTGATAGCACAGCCCTAAATAATTTCACTTACAAATAGCCCATAATGAGAATCTGTTTATCAAATTGATTAAAAATCAATGTAAATACATATTACACTTATTGAGTCCTATTGCATTTATTAAATGGTCCTAAACACCAAGATTCCAATTCTGCTCTTTACAGCTAGATTAGTAGCTATAAAACCCATGTCGACCTAAAGCAATCAGGCTTTTCCTGACTTAAATCAATTTTTTTATATATATCTTGGCTGCTAATTTAAATAAACAAGATTCTTTAAGAGTTCAAATTGTGGAACGCTATCTACAAATTGAGAATGCATCATCAACTTTTGTTATACACGATGTGGTACTGCAAATAAAGTTACTAAAAGATGATCAAGTATCTATTTGTGTTTTTGTGGAATTCATAATTCCACATTATGAATGTGGAATTAATGTGGAATTAACAATTTAAGAATGTGGAATTCATAATTCCATATTATGAATTCCACATTCTTAAATTGTTAAATTTAGTGTAGAGTCCACAAAGTTGTGGAAATAAAAAGGCTAACTGATTTAGCATTTAAGATAGAAAATGAGAAAATTTTGCCACCTCAGCATGGTAAACAATCAGAATACTCAGCAGCTTTGCCTTGATATCCCTAACGTACAACTGAAAGTAGGAAAATTTAACAGTCATTTCAAACACGTTGAGTGAAAACAAAGACAATATACAGCAGATAAAGCAGTTTTGTTCACTCGGATAACCTCCAGGCAACTACAAAACATTACATAATTGTGTACTGAACTATCAGCAGCTGTGGGCTTTGCCCTGGGACCTGCTATACCCTGGTACTCACTGCCCTTGGAGAAATAAGAAACTGGGTGGCTATGAGGCTATGATTGTGGGTGGCAGGAAATCAGGTCGAGATATCACAAACTGTCAGATCACAAATACACATGGTTTTGCCAGTAGCAAGCAGAAGAACACATATACCTAATCCTCTCTTACTCACACAAACACTGATACCACGCTATGAATAAAACAGGAGGTGACAACAACGGTGACTTCACGAAACCAAAAGCAGGCTTAGGTAATGTTAGGCCACCACTGAGCTAACTGAAAGGTAACTGCAGTAGGAAGGCAATTTTATAGCAATAAAAGCTAAGCACCCAGGAACATACAGCAAGTGTTTTTTAAAGTTCTCAATTAGTAGTGCTTAAACAGTTCAGAGTGACGAGAGGTAGATCTGTGGTTTTGTATGACCCATTCAAGAGCTCCTTTGGATTTAACATATCTAAACAATTCCTAAAGTGCAGGCCTCGTGCTAGCCGGTATTAGCTCAATTACACTAAAAAAAAAAACTCAAGTCAAGGCGCTCAAATGGACGGAGCCCGTCGGCTATGCGATGTAGCATCCTCTAACCTGAACACTTGCCAAACACAGGTTCTGCCCTTGCTTTATCTTTGGCCGCATAGGCGATTTAATACGGCGGAAACATATCGCTAGTTTTTGATGAGCATTAAACAAAGCCGGTAACCGGTGCGAGCAACCTGTGCATTATTAAAAAAATAAAATAAAAACCGAGGTTACAGCTCCGAGACTGACATATCTAGGTAAATACATAAGAAAATATACAAAACCGCGTCAACTACTAAAAATCAACCTGATATTTGTTAGCTCGAATACCGGCTTGATTAGCTAACATTAGCACACTTAGCAGGCTAATTGTACCCTCCCCTCCCAGCTGCCTCCAACTGAAACCATCATCCCACATCCAACCACTACAATCTTCCAATAATCAAATCCCCTTGTCAGATATTGTCAGAGAATAGAGTAAGATGCATATATATGATCCAATTTGTGTTACCCATGTGAAAGGATACGAAGATGGTGGTACAGCGCCCGGCTGAGGAGCTGTTTGGGCTCCCGATAGAGCGGAGGTCAGGGTAGTCCGCAGTTGGTTCGACGGAGAGGGGACACTTCCAGGTCCGCTAACTGCGACGGCGGTCTTATTGACCACTTTCGGTGGCAAACTCATCGCAAAAAAAGGGGGGAAAAAAATCAAAAATAATACACTAATAAATACTGATGCAAACAAAGCTTAGCTTGCATTCATAAAGCAAGCGTAGCTGATCCTGAAGCAGGCCCCAAATCCCTTTAACGAACTGGGATAACGAAACTCGAATAGCAACACAAACGTCTTTTTTCATGGAAAGTCGCTGTTCGGATCAGCGGTGCTATTCATGGGGACGGTTGGGAGGTTTAGCCTCCCTCGTCCGTCCGGAACCGCTGCGGATCCGGCTCGGTTCGTTTCTTAAAAATGAAACAATCGCCGCAGTCTTCTTCCTCCCTCGGCGATTTACCTTTTCTTCTCGGCAATTGTGTTTTCTATCATTTTTTTCTCACAGAGATGGGAGACTTCGCCAACATGGCGTTGCGGCCGCTTTCAGCAGTCCGAGCAGGACAGATGATTCGGCAATTCTCGGCCAGTTACGGAGTCGCTCGGCTAATCAACTAACCTTCAAACACATCGCCTCATGTTCACAAAACCTGCTTGTATTATAGTAATGCTGTTATTGTCCATTGTTTGTAAATATTAAATACTTCATATAATTACATTTTAATGTCAAATTTAAAAGCGTCAGTAAAACAAAATGACAATATCATGTGGCCACAATTATATGCACCATGTTATATACTTACTTCTTGTAATTTCTAAGTTTTTATGAATCATAAATACATAAACAATATTTAAATAGATAGATGAATAAACAAAAAGCCACAAGCTCCTGAAGTACAAATTTAGTGTCGTTTGTCAATTGCAATTTAACACGAACATGTTGACAGCGCCATCTACCGTCCAAATTCAAGACTTACGTCTACAAAATAAGAATAGTGCCTACTGAAGATAAACTATAGTTTTATCTCGATAAATTAAAATGTCATCTAAATAATTTGTGAAATTTGAATTTAAACATAAAACTTGTTTATATTTGAAATAAACAAGTTGTATGTTGTTATATAAACATATAACATATCAACATATAAACTATGTTGAATTTCATTCAATGTAGTTTATAAAGGTTTCAAGTCAATAAAACCCAAGTTCAGTTACTCAGATAATTAGACTACATAAAGTTAAAAGGACAATTTTTTTGATACAAAATAAAAAAGCCCAGGTTGCATTAACTGCAGTCTTTGTCTCATCTTCATCTTGACAAAAACTTATAGATATAGATCATGTATGTTGTGTGATCAAGAATTTGCTGGTCAACCAGCAAATTTACAAAGCCAGAGATTTTGGTCATTGCCTCTTCTTTACTCTCTAACCAAATTCAACCTGGATTTTCTTCACAAGTTTTGGGCTCTGGCTCTCTTTTTTATTTACCTATTCTTCTACCAAACCTTTTCCTTCCACATAATTTCTATTAAAATGCTTGCTTGGATACAGCACATTGAACAGCCAGCTCCTTTAGGAATGATGTCTTACCCAACTTGTGGAGGATGTCATTGGCCTATCTGTGGAAAACTACCAAATCAGAAGTCTCTCCCATAGTTATGTTGGCTATACCATAATATTCCTACTGAAAAGTCTATTAAAATCAAATTATAATTTTTATAAATATCTTTATTTTCAGAGAAAGCAAATTTTAGGATTTCATTAGTCACCATTAGAATGAACAAATATGAACACTTGAAATCTATTATTTCTTGTAATGAATAAATGTTACGAATGAATGTTGCTGTTTGAATTGAAATACTGAAGTGCATTAACTTTTCGATGATATTCTCATTTGCTGAGGAGAAGCTATAGGTAAATGACACGTGAAATTAGAGACAGGTTATTTTGGCACAATTTTTTTTTTCCAAGATTGATTTTACTATACAAAATAATTTTGTGACAAACTTTTACAAAAAAAAAAAACAATGTATGTTACATCATAGCTTAAAAATTGCTCATGTTCTAGAAACAGTTTTATAACGTTTTTTTGAAATATTGCAACGGCTCAATGTCAAAGCTGTAGAATTAAAACAATCATACAACTTTTAAGTAACTTATAATGTTATAAAATATATATATATATATGTTATAAAATATGTTATTATATATATATATATATATATATATATATATATATATATATATATATATATATATATATATATATATATATATATATATATATATATATATATATATATATATATATATATTCTATGACAATATATATATATATATAAACCAGAGCAGATCCAAGCATAGTTTAAGATATTATACATACGAAAAGAAAGAAACATCACTTTGTTTCTTTGTCACTTGTAGAACAGGCAGTTTGCATAATCTGAACAATCCCTGCTGTTTTTTTAACTATGTAATGGGATTCTAGTGTAGAAAACAGATTTATAGCTACATTTAAACTGAGGAAAGCTATTTTCTACACTAATAGTTCTTGTGGTGAGCAGCAAACGTTGCGATCTTCCACATGTAGCAGGCACATGTTGTCCAGATAAGGATCCTGACAAGCTGACAAGTTAAGTGGGACGACTTTAAGGGTTTTAGTGGTTCTTGTATTTTCATCCAAAGAGACTTCAGTATTGTCGGTATTGTGGTATTTTCTCTGTACCCACTTCACCATTTGTTGAAAGACAGTTCTAGACGGCGAGGTGTCACCAAAGCTCGCACTTATGTTTTGGGTTCATTGGAGCATCTGCTTTACAGCCAAAGTGCTTTGAGAATTCCCGAGAGTTGGAGATGGTACCGATGACTCGAAATCTTGATGGGCTGTGGGGATCGGTGATCACACCCTCATGTGAGCTCTCAGGTGTCCTAACAGCACACCATACCTACAAACCAAAAAAGAAAGAAATTTTTGTTTTTGTTGTCTTTATCATCTGTCCAATTTATGGCCAGCCTCTAGGATCACAGCTGTTTCCTATATCTTTAATGAATTGTTCTAATATCTCTAAGATAAACACCTTATCTGAGGCATTTTTGGGGTAAGTGATTTAAATGTTATTACCAAGATACTTGTATGTTTATTTTGTAGTGTTTTAATTACAAATTTCTTCCACGTGTTCCTTTAGTTATTCACCAGCAAAGTGAATCAATGAGCTCCAACCAGTGAAAGGAAAACCTATTTATACAAAATGTTTATGTCTGAGTGCTTGTGTTTTTACATCAATGAGCTAAAAAAATACTAGTTGGTAGCATAACAAGTTAAAATGAGCCAATGAAGCTTCACTTTAAAGTTAGCTTAAAAGTGTTTATCTCCACCACACATATCCTTAAATCAGAATCATCCCCTTAGAAAGGTGTGTGGTTGACCACTTTTAAATTTATTTCTAAACCAACTTAGCTTTATGTAAAAAAGTAATTTCCCTCTGAACGTAACAACTTCCAGTGTTACCTTTGTCAACAATAATTGGATACAAGTGTTTGCAATAACTGACATCACAGAAGAAATTCTGCCCCACTCATTTCAGCTTAATTGTTTTGGGGTCTTCTTGATCTTTTCGGAATGGCCAAGACTAGACTTTAACTTAGTTTTTTGTTGTTGTTGTTGGAGGACTTCATGGCCAGACATTCTCATTCAAGTTTTTCAGCAAGAGAGAATTCATAGTTTGATAAATTACACCAAGTTGGCTGCGTCCTTAAAAAGCAACCACAGACTATCACACAACAACCAAAATGTGTGACTGCTAGTATGTTTTCTAAAATGTATAAATTTTTTGTCCAACACCGACATTAAGTGATAAAAATGATGCAAAGCTTTAAGTGTAGTTTTTGTGCTTTTGTGACCTTCTGAATGAGTTGATGATGTGTACTTGAAGTAATTTTAGCAAGCAGTCACTCCTGGGAAGGTTCACTGCTGTGGATAATGTTTCTTGCTGTAGTTTCTTGCGGTAGTTTTGGAGTGCCAGACTTTCCAGACTAAAAAGTCTGGCACTCCAAACTGGGACTCCAGCTTTGTCAGTTGTGGGCTTTGTTTTAAATTTACGCTTTAATTTCTTTATCTTGGGACAGGGTGTGCTGGTGAGATCTTTCAGTCAGATGAATTATTGTAAGTGAATCCTGGATTCAACAATTCCGTCAAAAATCTGACTGAATTCTGACTGAGTTGTCAAAATTCAGCTGAACTTTGTTCCTGAAAACTTAGTTCAGAAACTGAATTTAGTTTCCCAAAAATGTGGCTGAACACAGGTAAGCCATGATTTAAGAGGACTAAATGTTACAAATGGCTCGATCCTCTTCTAAATGAAATCCTAATTTGAAAACTGATTTCTATATTTACTTCGATAAACAATACAAAAAAAAAAGCAAAAAGAAGAAATCTGTCAGGAAGCAAATACTTTTCCACCAGCCTATAGTTACATATGTTTTGGCTTTTAAAAGTAGAATGAAGCTGAACCTTAAAACATAATGCCAGTACTGTCAGCAGAGGAAAAAATATCTAGTGAAATATACAAACCTGTGCAAATCCAACAAAAAACAGCTGATGATTTGTCATTCCCAGAGCCGGCAGAGTTGCTTCCTCGCCATTCTTTTTGATCCAGTTCACATAGGCCTTCAAAGCAACACATTTTCATGTTACACATATGGAATCAGTTTTCCCTCCTCATTGAAAGGTACAATGTTTACACTAGCTTTAAGTTAGACCAATGTTGCAGACAAAATGTTTTTGCTTCCTACTCAGTCATTGCTTCAGTTCCCTGTTACCTTCTCGTTTGCTTCATAGCATATGACCTTTGATTACATGGAAAGAATGTGTTCATGTGAGGAAGTAACCAGAAGCTGACAAGGCCATTCATAACCACCTGTTGCCTTTCCAGACTTCACTGTAGATGGAACTGCGTACATTTTCCAGTGCAGAAAAATCAAGATGACTATCAACAACCTTGACACCACAGAAACACGGCAGGAATGATCACTGTCTGACTTTATACATGGTAAAACCTTACAAAATTTCTACAGTTCCCATGTGAATAAGGATTTATAATAATTATGATAATGAAAATCACTTATCAGCACATATAGTAACAGTGTCCTTTAATTTCTTTAAAAAATAGCAACAAAATATTTTTAAAATCAAATCCCACCTTATAAGCAGCTTTTAATCCCCCGTTGTCAGCAATGTTCTCTCCCAGTGTGTGTTTTCCATTCAGAGGCTCTTTATTAATGCTATAATTGCCATACTGCTCCACCATGCACTGGGTCTGCCTCTTAAAGGCCTCCACAGACGAATTCTTCCACCAGGGGCGCAAATTTCCATCTTTGTCATATTCCCTCCCTTTTAAATAAGTCATGAAGCATGTCAGAATCTTTTAAAAAATGCCTGTTTTGCAATTATTATTTGAATAAAAATGAAATATCTTTATGGTTTTCTTTCTTTTATTTACAAACCTTGGTCATCAAATGCATGAGTCAGTTCATGACCCATGACAACTCCAATTCCACCAAAGTTGAGAGCTCTGTAAAAAAAAAAAAGCACCCAAAGTTTAAAAAACAATGCTGTTATATGAGTAGAAATAGTTGTTTTATTTTGGGAAAGACATTATGCTTGTAAAAGAAGAAGCAAAGGTGAGTCTACATTATTTTTTTAAAATTGGACTGTTTTGAAATGAATAAATGCTCAAATTAAAGGTTACTATCTTCCAATTCAACTGCTGTTATAACCATCAATTGCTCTAATAATTGTAGAATAAGATTGAAATTAATTGCTTAAAAATCATGCAGTGTAGTTTTCTGAATTTTTGATTTAGATTCTATCACTGACAGTTAAAGAGTACCAAAATTAAAGACTTCTCCATTATTCTTCACAAGTGGTAAAATTATGGACAACATGATGGACTTGACATAAAGAGAGTGACATACTTGGGCCACGATCGACTATAGAATGGAGCCTGCAGGATCCCAGCTGGCAAAACCATCTCATTTTTTGTCGGGTTGTAATAAGCATTTACAGTCGGAGGGGTCATGCTCCACCTGCAAAACAAGAGCCGTAGAGCTTAAAGAAGCTTCTCACTTCAAGGTCACAACAAATTGAGAATAATGATTTGCTCAACCTCCATGCCAAGTGGACAACAGATCAGTTCAGAGGGCATGAGAACAGTAAACTAACCTCTCACCCAACACTGCCTAATTAAATACAAGGATCAGTTCAGTGGAGAGAAGCTGGTTGCCTGGGAACATTTGTGGATGGTGGCAGTATTTTGCTGAGTCTTTACAATGGGAATGTGTTTTTATCAAAGCATGTTCCCCCTCCAAATGAAGGTGGGCGGCGTTGAGCAACTCACTGGTTTCTGTTGGGTGCTTTCCTCAGCTGGTCTGCAGTCACTCTGGCTGAAAAATTGTAGTACTGCATGACATTCTGGAAGTAAAAATCTGACACCACCATAAACTAAAAGAGAGTAATGACAGGGAACGGAAAATGGATTTATCTGTTTTAAATCAATCAAATGGGATTAGGTGGTACATAAAAATAGCATGTCCTTTTACAGAGGAACTTACATCATTAAATACTTTGTCCAGCTTTGTAGCTTTCATAATAAATTCCGGATATCCAACCATGTTGTAAATAGCATCTGCCTACCAAGGAAAAGAGAAAAAAACTGTAAAAATCACATATTCACACCAGGTGGCAGCATTGTATTTTACTGCCACTTAACTGTTTTGCAACAACAGTCCCCTAGTGATAGGGTTCATTGACCGAAAAATAATCAGTCTCCTCCTTTTACCTTTTCCTTTGCAGCTTTTTTTGTATCTGAATCCATCCAGCTCACATCTTGCAAGCTATCCTCAAATGCCCCTTTAATTTCAGCAACCATTTCTTCAGCCTGAAGTGCAGACAAAACAGAGATAAGTAAAGTAAATATAGAACCCCATCATGTCATACAGCAAGGCATTTTGCATGAGACGCTTACAATGGCTTTGCTGTCCTCTGCAAAAGTGTCCTTGACAAAGAGGGCACCGAGAGCAAAGCCCAAGGCACTGTCTGTGTCGCTGACACACAGCTTCCAACGTGGAGTACAGCTCTACAAAAACAACAACAAAACATGTCAAGGACTGAAACTGTTCTACATCACTTCACATGTTTTATATGTTCTCACAAAATAAAAATGTTCAATTATGGTCACTTCCTGAAGTGTATTCTGGGCTTGTAAATCTGGTATTATAAGTAATATATTTTAAATTTTTTTTAGAATGACTGAGATGATTAATGTTATGACTATATGATTAATGTTACTTGGTAGATTTGGATTCAGGTGTAAGTTTGTACAAGAAGAATAATGGTGAAACTGCAGCAAAGTGCAGTGTTTCAAGAAGGTGGGGTATCTCCAGTAAAATTGCAACACTTAGATCTAATATCAACATAAACAACAACAGCAGAAGCCCACACATTTCCATTGGTTGGCTATTTTTATCTGACACAAAAAAATCGAAATGAAACCCCCCCCCCAAAACTTCAGCAATCGAGAAAAAGCGTTGTTTTTTAGCCAATTGAAATTTAAATATGTCAGCGCATTTCAAATAAGGATTCTACAATAGTTTTCTTTTCACCAGATTGCAGGTGATATACAATTCCTGTTTGATAAAGATATGACTGGGTTAAAGGAAGGACAAGAATACCGCATGTTCAAAAAGGAAAAAATGAACAAGGTCACACTAAGGAAGTGAGTAGAACTCTGAGCAAGCAAAGCAGTAAAAATCTACTTAAGCACACAGATCAGGATGGAAAAAGAGACACAGCTGCCCTCTCACACAAAGCACAAACACAAAGACACACACAGACAGATAGAGTTGGTTTGTTTTTACAGCTTGAACTCTGCAAGAAGCACAGCAGGAGGAAAAGGATCTGGCTTAGATAAGGGCTGGGGTCACTGGAGCTTTTGACAGTCAAACCGTTACACACATACAAGATTTCACTGAAGGGTTACTCAATGCATGGACCTATGTTTGAATAGTATAGTTAGATTAATAGCAAATATTCTGCTTTAAATTTATACATGGTACTTTCCAGATATAATCATACACTTTGTAAATTTTATCACAGTGGAACCACAAACTTCATTGTACTTTATATGGATTTTAAGTGACAAACTGAATTGTAAAATTGGGCAGTGAAAGGAAATGATACATGTTTATCACAATTTTGGACAAATAAAAATCTTTTGACAGTCTTATGTATATTCTTGCAATTGGTCTTTAATTATGGTGCAGATCTTGGGATATTCAGGGCATCACTAATAAATTTGTGAAGCATTTCTGCTCACAGAACAAAAACCAAAAACATAAGATTTTAAGGAAAACCAAAGAAACTGAGTTTCAGAAATTACACTCAGTGATGTGCCAGATCATCTATCAGTGTTTGCTTTTAATATTGGGTAAATTCTGCTTCTCTGTTGGCAACTGCACCCAATTATCTGTGCCCCGTAAAAACAAAACATGAGAAGAAATTAATAAGGAACTACATAATGTCAAGAGGAAAGTTCTGAGAAATTATGTCCTTGTGGACCAACTTCACCACCACTGTTCACTGAACTAACAAGGGAAAATAACAAACAGCCAAGCAGCTATCTTAACAACTCTTCCCAGCTTCTTTTTTTCCGATAAGGTGACAATATGGCTACAAATTTATTAAGATAAAAATTAGCTGCCAAATCAAATGTGCATAATATCACTATTTATATTTTATATGAACAAGTTTGTGTTAAATAATTATCTTGAAGGCCTAAATGTCTGGGTGTTTTTTTTGTTTTTTTTTACCTTTTTAGTCCCATACATGACTTCAAGGAAACGTTGCTCTGCATCTTGGAATCTTTGGTCTAAAACGGAAACCATTTTTCTCACCACCTTCATTATCATGTAGTTGTTGAGTAGGCTGCAAAAAAAACAAAAAAAGAACATTATTGCTTTCGCTCACCCTTAAACACTATGGCCCTTGTGGGAGTCTTTTGTCTTTGCATATATGTCTAAAAGAGCAAAGCATGCAGTCAATGTTACTAATAAAGAGGCCTATAATTCTACCTTTTATTTGTGTTTGATATGAGCTCAGAAATTTTCTGGAGGTATTCTTTGGCATAGACAACAACAGGCTCTGACTCATTAAGTGTCACAGGTGTGAACACTTCTGTCAGATAAGGCATCCAGTCAATCACAGGAGCCAGATCCTGCAACAGGACATGAATGAAGAATTAGAGTGCTGAACACAATGCCTGCCATTTCCCTCCAGACTCACATGAAAAAGATTTGTGTTTCATGCTTCTTTTAGCCAATGCCGTCACTCACCTTCAGGTCTTTCGCCTGTACTTTATGGTAAATTAGCTCCTCGTCTCGCCTCTCCTCCAGAGGCACTGTGATGTTAGCCAGGGTGGTTTCAAAATCCACAATTTCTTTCATGAGCGTCTTTGATGTCTCTTCCGAGCCACCCAGGAGAACTCCTAACTCCACCAGGAAGTTGAGGTACGCTGTGAGATACTGCAAATCCACATGAGAAGCAATATAAAATAGCAGTAGTAGAGGGGAACAATATGAGTGTGTAATTCAAATTAACTAGAAGAGCCATTTTAAGTATTCGTGTGCATGCTAATATTAGGACACACTTTATGACACACTTTAAGAAAATTTAAATATTTATTATTCATAAAATTTGCATACTTGAGGTTAAAACTGTAAACACTTCACTTGCATTCTACAGTGTATAATTACTATATATTACCTTTTCATTGGCTGTTTTGTTGAGGTAGTAATCCCTTGAAGGCAGTCCCAGGCTAGACTGATCCACCTACAGTTAAGAGACACATCCCATGTGTTTCTTCTATTTTACCACTCAGAGAGAACATGTTTTCATTCCTCAGTTATAAGCATGACTTATAACTGAGGAGCAAAGGCTTGCAACAGATCATCTCTCTAGAACTGGTTAATCTCATCTTTCAGGAAAAACAGATGTACACATGTCCGAACGACAGCGTGAGGATTATCACGAGAATGTCATGCATAAAATCATACGCTTTAGATGCGATATCATTGAAAATGTTCCTCAAAAAGGCGTTCCTCACATATCAATATATAGCTTCGATAAATAAATGCATTAAGTAAAAAATGCATACCTGAATGACATTGCTGTTAGAGTTTTTGGAGTCTGTGCTAACAAACACAGTGAAGAAAGGGGAGGTCCTCAAGCTGGCAGAGACAGTTCGGAGAACTTCTTGGAAATTGTCCTTGTCCCAGGGTTCAGTCAGAGCCCACCCTCCTATCTGAAATGGACAGGAATTAATCAGACTGAAAGTGATGCAAAAAGCTGGAAGCAATAATCAACAACAGAAACTGCACATTTGTTTGATGTGTAAGTACTCGTAAAAGAAGCATACCTGGCTGATCAGCTGCTGCAGAGGCTTTGCTCCTAATTCTTCAATCTTTGACTCATTCATGCAGGCCTGAAAGTATCGCTGGGCTTTTTCCTCAGCCTTACTCAATCCTTTCATAGTTGTGTTTTCTGCCCAAGTATACAACAAGATAAATGAGGACAGTAAAAACAGAAAATGGCTTTATCTTACTTTGGGCAAAGTTTAATTATCATTTGGAAGAATTTCTGTTGAAAAACCGAACTTTAAAACATCTTTGGTTACTCTTTAGCATGGAGTTCCACGCGGCTCTACTCTCATTTTTATTTCATCAATGCTTTTTTGTGTTACTTAATCTTTTACAATTGCTTACTCATTTGACCTGATGCCATTAAACTTTTATAACCTTTAAACCTCAGTGAATTGAGGAAGTTTTGATACTACTAAATGTTTGAAAAATGCTTCAAACATTAACTGGTTGTTGGATAATTTATTCCAACTGAATTTGTGCTCCTGATAGTTTGCTCTCACAGATTCTGACCATGTCAGTAAAGTTGACTGGTAAGGACTTGTTTTCGATTCCTAAATCAAGACTAAAAGCTAAAGGCAGCAGAGAATTTTCAGAATGTCTTCAGCTGATTTTAAATCATGATTATGCAAAACAAAGGAATCTCATTTCAACAGTCTGAAAAGAGCAGCCCCCTTAAGTTTTATAGCAGGTCACTAGGAATGCAAGGAAATTTTGGTATGAGGGTTAATGTTGTGGTGTGTGGCTTTAACAATTAAGTAATATAGAAAGGAGTTTGTCCATAAGTACCCTTAAAGTCAGTACTTTACAATGAATTATAAAATGGACAAGAAACCAATGAAAAGATATTAAAACAGAAATGATGTAAGCCGCCATGTTTGCTTAAAAATCTTGCTCCAAAGTTTTGGTCCAACAGAAAGTGAACGTGGGCTTTTTAAATGAAGACGCTTACCTAACAAACGTTTCATCACAAGCATGTTGTGCTCCCACAAGTTGCTAAAAGGACCCCAGCGGGACTTCCCCTCTGGAAGAGGGTTGTTCTTAACCCAGCCCCCACAAGCAAAGTTGTAGAAGTCATGGCAAGGGTCCACAGATCTGTCCAGTGCTCCCAGGACAGAGCTGGTGACAGTAATGCATGGCTCTGAAAGACACAGGCCTGGATGAGCTGTAACAGAAAGATATTAGCAAAAAAGAAAAAAAAAAAGATTAACATTTTAGATATTTCATTTTCTGCTTGTGGGAAACAGTAGAGAATTTGAAAAATATTTCATGGTAATACAAATATGCATGAGGATTTTCAGAGCATCTGGAAGCTATCATTTTTTAAGCCAAAGAATACAACCTGGAGGGAATACTTGTCCCAAGAAAAGTCTTTTATAAATAGTCAGCTGAGAACTGACTAGGGAAATGTATCATCTAAACTATCACTAACTCTTTATTGTCTAATTGAAGAAAAAGAAATGACTAACAGATTCATTTAAAAAAGGAAGCAACTTAAAGATCAGTGTGAAATTTCTTTTGTGTACCCACAAAAACTGTTAAGGCTCAGTGTTCAGAGAAGAGAAAGTATGTATTATTACTCAGTACATAAACAGCCTCGTTCATAACAGTTGGCCTAGACTGAAACCTTAACCATCATCCAACCGGATCAGGAACGAGACAGAGACTGATGCAAAATTATGAGCAGTGGTGAAGTTAGGCTTTCCCAGAACACATTTTATCCTTGTTCCTTTCATTATTTAAAAGTGTGATCCAACATGCCATCCTGAATAAGAGGAAGTGGCATTCTGTCTCCCAAGGGAAAATTGAGGAAACAAACACTGAGGAGAAGCAGCCAGTCGAAAAGATCTTTTCCATTGTAAACAGGCTCAAGGGAGAGATTTCAAGCAGCTCAGTGCTAAGGTGTGGCCCCAGCAAAAGGAAAAATAAATGAGAAAGTACTGTCCAAATTATGCGCATGATGTGCATGAAGCCAAAAATAAAAGTACTTTTGCTGGAACAAGTGAACCTGCAAGCAAATTTCTAAGTTATTTTGGTTCAATATGATTTTTTTTTATCATGATTCTTATCCTTCCTGGTATTTATGCAAAACTAATCAGCTTCTTGGGCTGTTAAATAACAGACATTAGAAAAACAATTTACCCATAACTGTATGTGCACTATTTTAAGAAAATTGATTTGCATTAATTGAGCAAAAACAAAAAAATTCCAATGAAACTTTATGTGTCTTTGCAGTTAATGCCTTTCAGGGTACAAAAAGCCTTAAGCTCACCTTGATTATAAAAGACTCCAGCAGAGATGAGTGATATGAACAGGGCGACTGACAGGAGACACACTAAAAACAGCAATCCCTTCTCTTTTTGTGTCTTGTCCACCCAATACATGCTGCTCCGGCCAGGCAAAAAGTTCACCTGTGCATAGAAATACACACATAAAGCACATAACTGAACTATTTGAGTTATAGATAACTGGTAGAAATGTATTTGCAGGGTTCAATCACAAAGATTTAAAGCTTTAAAATACATACTGGTTATTTTTACCTTGATGAATTATCATAGAAAAACTGCTATAGATTTCTGAGAGTCTGGATGACTGGCTTAATTTCAGAACACAATGCTTTCTCTATGAAGCATACTCAAAAGTTGGAAAAAGAAAAGGTTACACATCCTTTTAATTGTTTCCATTGACATTTAACATTGGCACAGATGTTAAACATGTGAAGACATACACAGACAGACATTTTTTTTACTATGATTGTATTTATTGTCTATGTCATTCAACTTGTTTTTTTACACTTGTAATCATATGTTCTCTTATATATTCTGGCATTCTGTTTCCCCATGGTAAAATTGAGAAAACAAACACTCATAAGAAGCAGCCAGTCGAAAAGATATTTTCCATTATAAACAAGCTCAAGGGACAGATTTCAAGCAGCTGGGTGCTATGGTGTGGCTTAAAGCCCAGTTCACGCTACAAGATTTTAAAATTGTCGGCCAATTCTCAAAACGCGAGAGACCGCACAGTCGGCAATTAAAAATTGTAGGTATAACGGTTTGGATCGTAGAGTGTGAGTTTCACTCAGGGATGTTCCAATTCAAGATATGAAATACCTTCAAATTCAGCTCTACCACACCTGAATTTAGAGTAGGAAAAACAAACATAGATAACGACGTTGAAGCGGTAACTTCAGACTTATTTTAACCCAAAAAAGACGTAACCAAAAATCAAATCTTTGGATCAAGAACAGGAGACATCGCGAGCGAGGACTATATTTGTTGCGCTATAATATGGAGGTGAGTTTTTTCTTTCTTTCTTTTTTTCCCCCCTCATAACAAATACTGCTTTTATTTTTTTCGGTTTTGTCATTTAATTAACCGTCACCGTTTACTTATAAGTTTATAATTTTTTGCTGTGTTGATTTTGTTGTAGGATATATGCATATACTGGGCCTTGTTCCAGGAAACTGAATGATCGAAACATCAGAATAGCTTAAACTAGAACAAAACATTTCCTGCATATCGTTAGTTTTTAGAAAATCAGATGACAGTTAGGCTATCCTTTTTCCCCCCAAATGACTGTGAAAGGTTAACACATTAATTACTCTGAAGACATTGGTATGATTGTTTCCTGACTGGTTAGTTGCCATTTTTTAACATATCTTTTATTGATTTTTTTTTTATCGTTTGGTTTTCTTCTACTTGTTTTTTTATGTAAATTTGGACTTTGAGTCTATCTATCTATCTATCTATCTATCTATCTATCTATCTATCTATCTATCTATCTATCTATCTATCTATCTATCTATCTATCTATCTATCTATCTATCTATCTATCTATCTATCATCTATCTATCTATCTATCTATCTATCTATCTATCTATCTATCTATCTATCTATCTATCTATCTATCTATCTATCTATCTATCTATCTATCTATCTATCTATCTATCTATCTATCTATCTATCATCTATCTATCTATCTATCTATCTATCTATCTATCTATCCATCCATCCATCCATCCATCCATCCATCCATCCATCCATCCATCCATCCATCCATCCATCCATCCATCCATCCATCCATCCATCCATCCATCCATCCATCTAATTGAAACCCGCATGGAAGTTAATTGTGATTTTTCAGGCATAGCTTCTGAAACCACACAATATTTTGTCAGTTTTCTGCACTTATATATTTTGTCTCTATTTGCTGCTGTATTTAGACTACAAATAGATTAGCACAGCATAACAATGCCAGTACAAAATAGTGTTTCAACATCTTGCTCTTGCGTCACATCGCTTTTCTGATTCAACACCACACACGCTGCGATAAACGAGCCAAGACAATCGAACATGTTGAATATCCCAGATTTTAGATCAAAGCGGTCTGAAAGATCGTGTAGTGTGAACTGGTCTTTAATCATGTTTAAATGATAATGCTGTGTGTGAAGCATTTTGTGTTCACAAACGTGATGTGTTCAGTGTGCTACATAAATACAATTTAGGGTCTAATTAGAAAAGTCTGGCTGTGGGAGCATGTTCAATCTGCAGCTTTTCACAGTTAGTAATTTAAGCTAATTAACCTAAAACAACAAGAAAGAATTAGATTTGAATCAAAACAATAATTAAGCTCCACAGATACATTTCTGGTTGATTCTGAAACAATCAAGAGTCTAGGGAAACAACAAAATGATCTTCTGCACAACTTTAAATTTAGGAATTCAATTATTTACTAGACCAAATGTACAATAAAAAGAAATAAGTCGAGCAAAAATTACTATGTGTATTTTATGGTATGTAAATAAACAGTTAAACCCAATATCATATGTACCCCTGATACATTTGTGTGTAGAAGAAGAATCAATATCAGAAAACATTTTATTGTCATTTTATTTAAAAAATGACATGATAAAAACCTATTTATGACCTTCTCAATAATTATTTGAGAAAATCTTTATTGGAATTGCATGAATCAAACCTTTCCTAAAATGGCTGACTTGTTTTTTGCATGTTTCCACTGGCATTCAGACAATTTATCTTTGGTGATGATCTACAAGTCTATAAAGTTGGAACACATCCTTGTCATCACCCTAATCTTTCTCTCCCTCCACAGATTCTCTTGGGGGACTCTGTCTGGGCCAATCGAATTTAAACTTTTTAATCATTTATTATTTATTCACAATCTCTGTTTACACGTCAGTAAACACATCAAGAAGAATGTGTCTTGACAGACTTTTTGGGAAAAATTCAGATAGACGTTAGAGATGTGCTTTTGATGCATATGTAGTAATAATAGTGTTTAATTTGATTCATGCAAAGCAGTGTAGCCAGTTATGTTCATTTTGTAAGCCTTTTGTTGAAGTATTTACTTGAAAGTATACTGTTTTCTAGAGTATGAAGGGTTGAAAAGGACTGACAATGCAGCAGTAAAAATAATGACTGATTTTGACCTAAATCAGTTTTGGGCTTTTACCTGCATGGGTGATGCGTAGACATCGTCACTGGTAGAGTCCACCAGTTCCTCCTCATCTAATGTAGCTCTCTTATAGGTTGACATCTGAAAAGTCAAATGAAGAAATGATTCTCTGAGTGCTTCCATGTTCCATTCAAGCCCGTATCTTTCCCAGGTGAGAGATGTGAGAGAGTGTTTTCTATTGTTCCTCAGCTCTTGAGGTTTCAGACCAGGGTTGTCCTTTAAAATCCATCAGGAAAAGTTCTTGTTTTTCAGGTTGAAACTATTTAATCCAAAAGACAAACCCTCTTTTAAGAAAATAAAAAATTGTCAGTCCATTTCTTTGAAAGCACTTTCCCTATCGACACCTCTCGCAGCCCCCATGGCTTCAGGCACAAAGAAACACGTAACACCTAAAATCTTCCTGAAAGTCCCACTAAAAGCTCCTTCTCATTTTCCCTCTCTTTCTCTCTTCTTGGACTTCCTCCTCTGCCCATTCTATGCAAACACGGAACTAGTGAAAAACAGGAAAGAGGTCCGACTTGAGCGATTTACATGACTGAGACAGAGCGTGCGCAAGTGATTGTGTGACGATGTGTGTCTTTGTGTGAGCACATTCCTCAATGTGGTTTCACTTAGGTTTAGGGAGGGAATCTCACCGCTACAGCACACCCAGTGATGTTTCTATAGGACGAAACACACTCAGGGGTGGTGCATCGAAACAAAAGATCCTCCTCCAACTGCATGCTGCTGCTCTCTGTTACCTGAGCATGATGACCATGTTCCTTAAAATATTAAATACCAACCAAACTGTTCTAACAGTTAATTAGAATTTACAGCCAAAATTAAGTTTCTGGAGATATTTGTATAAGACATAAGACTGCTAAAAACGATTTTCAACACTGATGTAATTTTACAGCAAACACAATCACAGAGATTGACAACAAGACAGTTGTCCAACACGTAGTCATTAAAACTTCTTCAAAATGAGAGAAGGGTATAAAATATTATTAATCAAAAAGCTGCTTGCTCTCAGAATGCTGGAGTTAAGGGAAAAGAAAAAGCTTGGTAGGAAAGAGATACACAGGCAGAAAGAATAATCGCACTTTGGAGTTTTTGATTAACTTAACAAAGAATGCAGCTGATTAAGAAGTCACCACACATAAACATATCTAACACATGAGCTATGACTGTTGCAGTTTCTGTGTTAAGCCACTTGTGAACCAGAGTTAATGACCGAAGTCACCTGACAGCAACAGAACTGTTTCTCAGTGGTCCAAAGTTCTCTTTTCAGATGAAAGTCAACAATTAATTTAAGTTGGACATCTACATTTCAGAGTCTGACGAAACAGTGGAGAGTCACAGAAACGAAGTTAATGGAAGTCTAATGTGACTTTCACACAATTAGTTAAAACCCATCTGCTGCTGTCAGTGTAAAATCCATGCAGATGTCCAAATAATTTCAGTAGACTTCATGCTCTAATCTGCCGACAAGCATTTTGGACATATTGATTTCATTTTCCAGCAGGCCTTGGCACTAACACATGCAGCGAAAATATCAATACTTGCATAATTTTCTTGACTTCAGTGTGAATTATTGGAAATCTACCTTAAAATAAATCCCTCAGAGAAAGCAAGGAGTATTGTGAAGAGCAAGTTAAAGGACATCAGACCAACTGATAGCAAAGAGCAGAAGGTCGCTATTAAAGCAAGTGGGGCCTCATTACACCTCAGTAGAGCCAAACGCTTACTGGCCTCATGCCATGCTGAATTGATACAGTAAATAATGCAAAAAAGGTCCCAAACATTAAGAGGAAATACAGTACAGAATACAGACATATGTTTTTGTAGGTATTTTCTGTGTAAAAATGTTTCTGTTATTGAAATTAGGTAATATTAAAATGTTCTGCAAAACATTGAAAATAAAGTTTTTATTAAATGTAAGCCAGCCTGGCCTGCTTAATTCTTATGTACCCTCAGTGTTCAGTCTAGGATTTCTCCCATTGAGCTGGATTTCTCTGGTAGAATTTCAACCTGGCTAATCAGGGAAGTTGGGAACAGATTTTGATTTTCTGTGATTTTATGTTTCACAATTGTAGTCTGAATGTAATTTTTCAATGGCAGCAGAGGATGTGAGTGAAGCCATTCATGTTGTCCACAAATCCAAATATTAAACAATTAAAGTTGGAGCAAGAGGAATGTTTAAGACATTTTATTGATGGCAAAGATGTCATCCAGCTCAGCACTTCTCTTTTCACAGTGGGGGACTTCAACAAAGTTCACGCCTCCAGCAAGAAGTCATTTCTCAATAACTGAGGGTCCAGACCCTCTGTACGAAACAAAGAGTTAATGTTTACCAGGCTAACTGTAAATCAAAAACAGACAAAAAACCCCAACTAATTAAACTCATTATGCAACATGGGTCTAGCTTTGAATCTTCCTTAATAAAATTATTCATATCAATTACATTTTCAGCAATTAATTTCACTGAAATACGTCTGTATATACAACTTATGTGAGACAATGAAGAGACTTCGGTATGTTTAATGGTGTTGTATAAATGGTGACTAATCTCCAGGCAGCGTCACAGAAAAACAACTCATTCCATGACAGACGGGAAAACAAAACAGAACATAGACGGGCCCAAGAAATTTGTCTGAATGTGAACCTGCTCAACATCAGATGTGTAGCACAACATAAACCCTCAGTCTCTGGTTTTCATCTGTTAATCCATTAAATACAAAGCAAACCAAACCATGAATTCTTCAATAACAGTCCCAAGCATTAAATAAAACAGATTAGAGCTTTTTTTTAAAATAAACACAACTGAACTGTAATCTATTCTTGAATGCTTGCTTTAGCTTACTTACAACTTGCTGCATATAAACATGCCATTGAAGAAGAATGGTATTCCCACATCTTAAACAATTGCAGTCAAACAAGGAGCACAGATTCCAGTTAAAGCTTGTTTCTGTTACAAAAGATGTTCCTAAGTAACCTTGGTTGTACAGACAGTAAGAGATTACTGTTTGCCTCCTATAAATACTTAAGGAATAATAAGAAAATTCCTGCCATATTCAAACTCTCCCTGTACTGGTGAGTTTATTATGTCTTTTAAAAGCCCCACAGCTGATCAGCAAAGTAAAACAATGAAGTTTTGAAAGGGCAGAGGACTGAAATGTGTTGAGAGATGTAGCGAGATAAGGATGGAGGGAAGCTGATGAAAAGAAAGGGAGCTACTATAACATCTGACATTTCTCAACTATACGAGGGTTCTATGTTATCACTCACATGCATAGAAAGGTGTAATGGCAACACAATTATCTGATTTCTTTCTTTTGTCTTGCATTCCTCCTTTGCTCTATCAACGTTTACCCTATAATTTACCGAGGGTTTACAGAGGTTCCACTGAAACTAAACAGAGAGTACTTGGTGAACAGTCAGAACTATTGTTTTGGGGTTTTTTTGGCTGAAAAAGTATGACATTACCCTAAAACATCTGTGACGCAATCATCCGTTCTGTGCTAGATCTGAGTGCTGATCAACATAGAAAACTGGCATAGACCCTGCTGTTGTCACAAACACACATTCCTAAGCCCACATTCTCTGTTTTTGAACACTTTCCTGGAATTGAAGTCTGCTGAAGCACAGGAACGTTACCACACAGACTGAAAGCCCGCGGCTGAATCAGTTCTATGTGAAAACACAACTTCCCTTTCTCTGTGCATGTTATTTGGTGACTAATATCAGCCACTTTTGAGGAAGCATGTCATTGCCAATTGAAGCATTACACCAATTTCTACAAATGTATAACACATGGGACATTCATTGGCACCCAGCACAAAGATGCTTATGATAAATGAATTGTTTATTTTAGTAGCGTAATCTCACACTGAAAAACCCAACCTTTGATTAAGAACACTTATTCAGTGGAGAAAATCTGTTGGTGTAATCCCCTTTTGCTAATAGGTCAGCTCTCACTCTTCTAATGACAAAGTTGAAGCATACAGTCATGTGTCTTTGCATCTTATATAATCTATACTTCCAGAATCTTGTGTCTTCTCTTATACACTCATCAATTTTCTGTCTGACTTTAATCTCGGGGTTGTGATTACCATTGGGGAAAGTACTTTTTTTTCAAATCTGACAAAGAATTTTGATGTTGTTTCGACCAAATATTTCAGAACATTTTACTAAAAAAACTCCAAACTATTTTCTAATGTGGAATTGTTTATGTTAAATGTGCTCATATGAACTATTGATTTTGTTTTTATGCTAATGAGATCAAATATATTTTTCACACATCTTCACCAATAACTGTATGCATTTCTAGATAACCTAAAATCAGATGATACACATGAAAACCTAAAACCTATGCTCTTCCTAATGTGGTTGGGGTGTTGAATCATAAAATGTCACTCAACACCTACTTTGTAATTCCCATGGAAAAGAACTAAGAAATAGGTCCAAGACATTTAGGTCCCAAAATAGAAATTTTGTGATTATAGTCACTTCTACAATGTTTGTAGCAAATTCCCCAAAGTGTCCCACAAGAAGGAAAGTCTTCTATGGGAAGACTTTGTCTATGTCTTCCCATAGAAAAAGCTGCTAATACACAAGGCCACAACCCTTTAGTGAGGCAGTAAACCTCAAACATGCGTCAGTAATTCGTCACTGATCCTGTGAACTGGACTATTATATGCAGCGTTAGAGCATTCCTCCAAGAATAACTTTTGTGTGTTTGAGACAGAGTGCTGCGGTGGATACCCTTTCACAGCTAATTTCTGAGAAAAACAAGAACAAAAAAAGCACAAAACAAGTAAGAATTTGATGATTTCTGGCTGTACATGCCATGAACTAGAAACTTTGCAGCTCATTTTACCATCTTGAGTCGCGGGATTCAAGATCGAGATATAGTTTCAGACCACATATGATAAGTAATCACTAAATACCACAAACAAGTGCAAACCTGGGCCTTACATTATGTGGCAGCCAATTTGACAACAGTAAAAGAACACACTTCTGTTGAAAGTTCTGCAATCACCTCTAACCAACTCAGTCATAACCTCAGTGAGACACATAAAGAAACCACAGCTACATTAGAAAAGCTTCCACTTCCTGTTCTATGTAAAACTTGAAGATAAACCGGCTTCAGGAAGAACAAACGTCTTAGAAGAAGTATCAGTCATATATCCAATGTAATATGCCTAGCAAAATAAAAAAGTACTCAGGCTTTGAAGAAAAATAAAATATTTAAATATGTGAGGTGAAAGGAAAGAGATCTTTTTTCTTAAAAAAAAACACACCTACAAGTGTGGGGTGCACTTGTATTTCACCTACTTCTTTTTTACTTTTACCACTAAATAAAATTCAGAGCAACTAAACTTAGTATGTAGTAAATGGAGTTAATCTCAGTACAAACAGTATTATGTAAGGAAATATTCAGAGTTTTGCACATTTCACTGAGCGCTGTTCCATCCATTATCCAAAGACTGAAAGATTATTGAAGAGCAACAAACTTACGAAGACTTGATCTTCCTCAAAAAGAGGGAGGCCATGTAGAGTATTTACAAAACACTACATGAGGAGCAAATGGTTAAATGTTT